ATATCAGAAGTTCCCAGTGTCCCTTCCGTGCTCGTCCTCTGGTCAGAGGGACAATTCCTAAAGGGCATCTCAGCTTATTCGTTAAAACCATGGAGGCTCCTTTGCAACTGCTCAGTACATTATCATGAAGATTTTTTCTCCCTCAGTCATCATTACAGAGAGCCAGCAAACTCCAATCCTCTTCAGGTCTGCCTACCCCCCTTTTGAAAACGAGCAAGATGATTAAGAAATCACACCCTAAATTCCCATTTAGAGTGGTTTATGAATTCTATCTGAATGGGTTCTTCACCTTAACAGATGACTTTCTGAAAGAAAGCTCTATACTCCGTAAGTCTCCATAGATTTACTCAATTTTTCTCTACAAGAGTGGGCTTTTAAGACTCTCTGTGTCCATAGCTACATATATTCAGGAGGCCACCCTGAATGTCCCAAGACATCTCCCTGTGTGTTCGCACACACTCACCGGCATGATGACCCTCCGCTGCTAACCACCAAGCCTCGTTTTACCAGGGCACAGGCAGCTCTAAACGTCTGCAGCTCTCCGAGATGTTTATGGCAGCTGTCGAGAGCTCCTCTCTGACCTCTGTTAAAAATTATGCAGTAGACACGGCAGCCAAGTCAGATGCCAGGTTCGAAAGGACAATATTTCTACTGCTGTTTGACCGATGCAGCTGAAACTTTGCCTTTCCACCGCTGAAGGAAAATGCAGGTTGTCTCACACTTAGGAAGAAGAAAGGATGGACCCTTACTCTCATCAAGCTGGGATTCTTCAAGACAGAGTCAGCAGGACACCACTGCATGTCCTCCAGCCCAGCTCTTCGTAACAAAAACACTGAATTCCAAGGGAGTTGAGGGAACATCACAACGGTTCTGTGCTCACTGTCTCTACCTAAGAGTGGAGTGAGGCAAAGGACTTGTACATGGCCCAGAGAGATATGAGCCAAGAGAAACTGCATCTCATCAGTGTGGAGCATCTGTGCAGCTACAGCAGGATGATGTCAACACCCTCGTATCAAAAAGCTACAGTCGCTGGAGGGTTATCCCCAGTACTACACGGCATGAGCTGCAACAGAGAGACAGCCAAGAAACACGACATCACCTTGTCCAATTCCCAGTGCAGATGAGAGCTCAGAAAATTCTGGTAATGTTGCAGTTTTCCCTTACTTAAGGTCTGTACAGCAAAACCAGATATCACTTAAGGCAAAGAAAATGAGAGAGTACTGAAAGCGTACGTCCTGGTTAAACCAAACCAAAATGACTCAGCAGCTACGGAAGGGATGGAGAGTTGAGAAATACCGCGTATATTACTGCGTTTGTATACCTTCTCAACAAATACTTTTCTGTAGCCCTGGGGACTGCGTGCTCTGAGCTTTCGCACAGAGAAGACGCTTGTCTCGTGGCACATGTCCCTTGGGATGGACTTTGGAATGACCAGCTGAACCCGACCGACCGTAATAGGGAAGAAGGTGCCAACTAAGAAGATATTTATGCTGCAGTCCAAAGGCGTTCTCACAACTAACAGTCATACCTGCCAAGCATTGAACTCTCTAGTGACTATATCAATAAGCCGTGGATCTGCAGATACACCAGATTCAGCACAGGCTGAAAAAACTTTCTGAAGATCCTGAGTAAAAATTCAGACTAACTTGAGCTGAGCTCCTCACTACTTTACAGGCTGTGCTATCAATACCGAGCTCAGTAGCTTAAAGCTAGTTCAGATAGGATTGCAGGAGCCGCAGTCACACCTCTGGATTGCAGGGTGGGTCTGTGCATTGCCAGCAATGTACAGGAAAGGATTTGGGATGCAGTTGCAGTAATTTGGAGATATTTGTAGTTTTTACTGTCAACTGCAGGCAGAATACATTGGCAAGAGATCTTAAGAGCTGGACAGCCCCAGAGTCGCTGTGTACAGCACTTCTGCAACCAAGCAGCACTAGCGATAGCCCCTGCAACCCGAAGGAAAAATTGTAGGTCCAGAACAGATCTATATTGACGTACGTACTTTTTACACCGTTTTACCTCTGACAAAGCTGTGTTACTGCTGGTGAGCCTTACACTTGATAGGTTCCCAAAACGCCCCTGCAAAAGGGACCGATTGTGTAAGTCTGAGCTCCTGTGCAGACTCTGTCAGACCACAGAAGGTATCAAACCCGAGTGAATCACAGCTCCGTGACTGTTCAGGCTTTTCTCTGCACTCGCATTAATATGTAGGGCCATGTCACCTATCCAGGGGTTTATCAGAGCACATTCAAGAAAACTAACAATTTCCATCCATCAGCAAAGCTGCAGGTAGATGCCTGATTAGAGAACCATTCTTTGCACATGGCTGTACACTTGTATCCTGCTCAGCATAAGATTTTGTCTTTTTTTTTTTTTAAGTACCTCTAGAAATTTTGGGTTAGCAGTTAGCATTTCCAGGACTAGTGATTATTAACCAAAGTGGTGTTTAATGGAATATGTGACAGGTGGGGAGGGGCATCCTAATACATATTTAAATATTTTTTTTGTGGGAGTGAAGCATATTCATTCATATTTTGAGCAGGAATAAATAAAGGCCTGTCAGAGGAAAAAAAAAAAAAAAATCTATTCTGTAGCTGCAGAGGGGGGATAAATAGCACCCAAAGACCCCACTGTACTTAGGAAACTTTGGCAATTAACTGTTTAGCACATGAACTATGAGAACTTCCAAGCATAGAGGAGGAAGGGAAAAATTCTCCAAAATATACTGTCCGATCTCCTGGTCTCACAAGTGACAAAGGATCAAGACACCACCTCAGATACCAGTGGTCAAGACCTAGCAGTGACCTTGCTTTAGAATAAGCCACACAAAAGGACTAATGAGAGGTGTTGGCTACAAGATCATCCAGATGTATGAGAAAGAGGGCTGTCGCAGAGAGCCAGGACTTTACAGAACAAAAGCATCAGACTTCAAAACTACCTTGGAGTCCCCTTACTCCCCCCAAAATCCTGCTCTTCCACGTTTGCTATCCTGGCATATCCCACCCTGGGGATAAGTTACACTTGGTTTCTGAAGCACCAGCGTTTGGATGCTCATGAGACCCAAACCCACCAAGGCAAGAACCTGCAGACACAGCTGTAATAACACCGCAGTCACTTTCAGATCCCATTCGCTTACTTTGTTCTTGTAATTATTTTTCATCTCTCCTCTGTTCTAATGGTAATAACATTTATAGCAAACACCTATGTACTTGAGTGGTGGCCTGGGACATACTGATGCATACACATCAAAAAACGCCAGGCTTCAGATGATATCAGTATACCTCCAGTACATCAAATTACTTCAAAGATCAAAACATACTTTTAAATTTGAATGACTTAGTATATTGTAGAACCAAAAGATGGAACAAACTTTCCCTGGAGGGCGGATCCAGATGACTGGCTGGTTGGTCTGTGTTCATAAAACAACCTCCGTCTGTTTATATACCATACTCATCTTATCTTGATGCTGTCTCAAAGCAATTAAATCCAGACAAGTTGTCTGGATTTTCTCACATTATCCTACATTTTTTCTTGTCCACATCCAGGAGCAAAAGAGAGATTATTGTGGTGTTTTTCATCTCAGGTAAAACTCTACACCTACCTAAAGAAACTGTGTTAGAGCACAGCGGGGGACGGGTGCTCTCCCCAGCTGAGTGCCAACAGCACTGCACGGTCCCAGCCCCTCACATACGGCGACTCTGAGCATCTCAGAGATGACAATTTCTTGTAGCTATCAAGAATTACTCACTAAATAAGTGAATGAATTAAAATTTACATAGACAAATAAGAAACGCAAGACCTCAATGAAAGTGCAGTAAAGGGAATCTGCGAAGCTCTTACTCACAAGGATGTTTTCTAGCCTGTAGTGGGTTTTGTGAGATATTCCATTTAATAACATTATTTTAGATGCAATTTATAATGATGCCAACTGAAGGAGCTAATCTGATACTAAGAAACTAAGATAATCTGAATGTATTTTCTGTGCTCACCGAATTGAATTACTGTGTTCCTATTTCTGCTAATGCTAGATTGTTCATGCAACATACTTTTCTGCTCCCCCCCCCGTGCCACATGAACTTTTTTTTAGTTACTTTGAGAGGCGAGCCTTAGGACTGACAATTGACTCTTTTCCAAATGATCTGTTTAAACATCTCTTCATATTAAGGAATGAGCAGCTGTTAAAAGAGAACTGAAGCAGAAGATCCCTGGTTTAAAGTGATCCCACAGGGCAGAAGAAATGAGAATATAAGGAGTCACATCGCTGGGCTGTGTAAGGAAACACCGGCTCTGCTGAGAGATAAAGGCAGCCTGGAGCAGGCAGGGTGACTCCCGGGCGAGGGTGCTCGGCGAGAGATGAGTGTGGTGCAGAGAGAACCGTTGGGGAAACCAGGCTGAGCGGAACGGGCGAGCAGGACTGTTGGGTTATAACCCAGCTCCTTAGGATAGCCGGTCTGTCGGTGCGGGCAGTGGCCTTGAACTCCCAGGTTGGGTTTGCAGCTAGCAATAAGGAGGAGACAGCACCGATCAAAACCCAGGGTGTGAAATAAGCAGAGCAAAAACAGAGGAGGCAGCAGCTGTATGGAAGGGAAGCACCCTAGCAGGGAGTTGTGTGTGTAACAAGAGTTTGGAGCTGCTCTGAACACCGACTGATCCCATGATCGACTGCATTCCCATGGTGTCCTGGAGCCAACCCCGTCACAGCAACCTCACTGTGCTGGATGCTGTTTGACTGCTCAGGGAAAGGGGACACACTCAGAGTTAGATTGGATAAAGTCTTGTTATGCTGAATTTCACACACACTGATTATTTTGCTTGGGACTCACTTCCCAGACAATTTTACCTTTTTCTTTACCCTATCCATAACAAATGTACTAAAACCTGTGCTTGGAAAGACTACTGAAAAGGGAGCAATGAAACACCTGCCCTCTCAAGTAGACAAATATGGAAAAAATAGAAAAAAAAAAAAAAAAAAGAAACACCAAGTAAAATTCTCCCACTTAAAGTTTCAATGAGAATATATTTATCTTTTGTGTTGAAAACTGTTTGAGGTGCTTCCCCCCTTCAGTAGAATAAAGTCCAATGCCCACAGCACGGTGTCATCCTTGTGCTGGCACACAGAGAAGTCCCACAGGCCAAACGATGGCCACCAGCAAGGCAGCATGGAGTAAATCCAACCCGTCATCCAGGAGAAGTGAATCCCAGCCACGGCCGCACCGATCCCTATAACGACATCCCACTTCGCTTCTTTGAGTCCTTCCGTGCAATGGGACTGAAGGACAAGATCTCCTTGTAAATATGCTCTTGAAAACCAGAACAAAATAACCATGAATATGTGATTTTAGAGGACACAAATGAAAGTTTGAATGTTATATGTGCAGAGGGGAGGTATTCAGTGGAGAGGATATGGAAGGTACAAGCTGGAAGAGACAGAGAAAGCAGAGAGGCCAAAAAAGTCTGCCTGAAGAGCTGGAGGGATCTTTGCAGAATGCATAAAAGCAAGAGCAAGGCAAGGGAGATGTGCATTATTGAGCCACCAGCAGGCAATCGCAGCCTTACTCAGCATGTGCACAGGAAAGAGAGAGGTAGGAAAGTCCCGTGCTAGACAGGAACTTCAAAGAAGATAAACTTCTTACTTCTCCACTCATCTATTGAAAGCTTTTCGTGTTCCAGAGAATCATCATAGGACTGTTGCGCTTCTGTCTCCTCCTCGATGTCTCGGAACTGGTCAAAATAGGGGTGAGCCAATGCCTCCGTCGCTGTAAGACGCTTTTCCACATCGAGCTGCAACATCTTGTCAAGCAGGTCCACTGCTGTAGGAGAAGACAGGAACAGGGCTAAGCAAGGTACGATGGAGAACAGGCATCCTGTGCACATACCCTGCAAGCGATGGGACTAGTGTTGCCGTACTACATCTCCAGACCTGAAAATGAAAGAGATTCCGCAACCCAGCCAAGGTAGAGTGGAGCTCCTGTCAGTGGGGATGCAAAGTCTGCCCAACAGCAGCCCCAGGGAGCTCTTACTAACAGAGCTGGAGGTGTTAATTGTGCAGAAATAACAAATTAGTCTTGAATAAGCCTTGCTGCACAGATGGGGCTGCAAGAACATAAAAAGCAAGCCAGTAACTTCAAGATATTTTCAGTTTTAATCATTTGCTTTCACTCTGACCCCTGCAACTCAAAGTAGGCTTAACCTGAGTAATCTATATAGAAATCTATACATCCCTGGTAAACAGGAAGGCAGGAAACTCAGATACCAACTAGTCTGGTCAGCCCTGTCCCCCCTTGGTTTTAACATTTTCATGCTTTCTTCCTTTCAGCTTTTACAAGCGTTTTGCTCACTCTCAACTCTAATCTGCTTGGGAAAAGAGCTCCTTCTAAGAGATCAATTTTTAGCCTGAAAATTGCACATCTCAGCTGCCTGTTAAGTATCAATAGATTCAGGTGTTCAAGAAACAGTTAGGATCTAAGCTGTACTCTAAAAAAAACATAAATCAAAAAGTTACCAGGGTGGACTGTGGGGCTCTCTTTGCACTTTATCAAAAGCTGTGATGCCTTAGATGTGGGACTAGGAAATAACAATGAATAAAGAAGAGCTGGTTTGTTTACATAAATGTTACTGATCGTAATATCACCTGCTTGGCTGCAAGCCACAACCTCTGGAAGCCAATATCAGTCAAAATTCATCCCAACTCTCATACCAAGTGATATATGCAACTGTCCTAATCCCATAATTTGCATCCCACCACCTAGACATCCCGTTATATCCATTATATCCAGGACCCACTCTCTTCTGGCTTGTTGATATGAGAGTCAGAAGTTTCTCTCTTCCTTAAACATGCTGGGCTACAGGCTGTATCATTTTAAAATTAAGAAAAAAAGAAAAGTAGTAAATAGTCAAGAACAGCAGAACATTGCCATTGTAATGCCAATAAAGAATCATTTTGCTTTTAGTTCATACATATTTGCCCCAGGGAGGGGCAGAGGCACAACCTGCAAGGGAAAAAGTAGCAAGAAATTATGAGGAGAAATCAGATGGGAGCTGTGGCGGTCAGCCTGCCTCCTTTCTAGCTGTGAAAACTTGTGAGAAATGCCGGAGATGGCTTACCCTGAGGATTGGCTTTGGGGAAAAGCACAGACAAATCCTTCTTGGGGATTTTAGGAAGGGACTTGATGTAATTCTTAGCCTGAAAGAGAAAGGAAAGCACATTTACCTGCACATGGACAAGTGCGAGGAGGCTGTGAAATACAGCTCTTGCGTCCCATGGCTCAGATGAATAAAGGCAAATGAACTGAACAGCAAATCACCCCAGATGTCACGTTACAGTGACCAGTTTGCAAGGAACTATTTTTATCAATCGAGGTACAGAAATATTCCTGCTTTAAGGGCCAAACTGGAGAACAGAGAAGGTTGGTGGTTTGCTGGGGCATCAGGCACCTCACCCGGGAGTCCCTGCAATCCACGCCAGTTCCCAACACAACACCAAATCCATCAGATGTGCCACTAGCAAAGAGAAACCTCTTCCTTGCCAAGGGGAAAAGTCTGCTGTCGCTCTTCTTCACTGCTGCTGCAGAAGCAGCACCTCTCCCATCTCAGAGACACGGCCAAGTTAACCTCTCCCCACCACACCTCCGCCAGCGAGACCTGAATCCACAGTGAACTTTCTTACCGCTTTGTCCTCCAGCTTCTCCACAAAGTCTTCTCCTGGATACCCCGTTACTTTCAGGATCTGAGTCAGCTGATCTAGATCTGGCAGGCTATGTTAAAGATCACCCGGCTAGGAGCGAGCCCCGGACACCCCCCAACAGCTCAGCCTGTGGGCTGGGGGCTGCAGAGCCCGAGGACCCGTCAGAGCTATGAGTAGGTTATGATACAAACCCAACAGAGCCACATGAGCAGAGATTCGTTAGATTGGGAAAAAGAGCTCCAAGGCTTTTTTCCTGGGATGCCGTTTTCATCAATAAATAATTTTGCTGGCACAACTCTGCCAGGGCATATGCCTGTGGGCTTGGGGGATATGCAAGGGTTTGGGTATGGAGCTATGGCCACACAAGGTTAGACTGCTGATGTAGAGCACACGTGGCCAGCACAGAGGGGTATTTCTAAGGGTGGCTTGGCCCCCTCCTATCTCCTCTCTGGTTTCCTCACCAAATGGACTGGTCCCTGCGATTACCTCCTGGTAAACCAGACACCTATTTTTCTCATTAGCCTCGTTTATAAAAGCCCTTTCACGCACACCAAGAATTATTACTCCCCCAAGGGAAAAGGTTGAACTTGAAAGGATACAGTCTTTTCCTTTAAAGAGCGTTTTCCCGGTCAGCATTTCTGCCATGATACAGCCAATAGACCAGATATCCACTGTTCAGAGAGAAAAAAAAGAAAAAAGAAAAGAAAAAAAAAAGGACAGTAAAAAGGCAGCAATGATTGCTGGGGCTGTTGCTTGTTTTGTTGCTTGCAGCAGGCACTGATTTAAATTTCATTCCCATTTTCCACCCTGCCCTGTTCTTTCTATGCTGCGAAAATCTCTGCTTTCATCATTTCCCACAGGCAGTAGCTTTGCGAGTTGTGCAACAGCTTTGGGACTCTCTCCGCCCCAGGGGACACTGATGATAAAGAAGAAAAACATCTGGAGGATTACGTGAGATTTGACCCAGTCGTGACAGCACGATCCCCAGGCTTGTCACCAGACAGTCACACCGCTGAAGCAAGGCAGCTCACCTGTCTGGTTGTAATGCATCCAGTTCAGAATGACTTCTGGGGCTCTGTACCAGCGCGTAACCACGTAGCCGGTCATTTCAGCATCAGCGTGTCTGGCCAAGCCAAAATCCAAGATCTGCAGTTCACCAAAGGAAGAGGGAGAAGGAAGGGCAGGAAAGAAAAAGAGAAATCCTACGAGCAAGTGAGAATCTACTTCTAAGAGGAAACAAAGCAAACCTGATCAGATAATAATGAAGTTCCAAGTACACCACAGCCACCCACAGGAGGGTTCAAAGAACTAACAGGTTTGTCTTAATTCCACTGCAAATTGCGGCTGCAAAACCAGTTGTTGTGTGAAGACCCTGCGGAAAGGATCAGTGCTGTGTGCTACCTGTGGGGCTACGTCCTGTCTTGAAGCTTAAGTTTCCACTCTCTGAGCTTTATTTAATTGAGTCGTTCTGTTACCCGGCAGCGAAGGCATGCTCCCAGGCCACCACGACTCACCCTTTCCTATAAAAACACCTTGCAGCTGACAGGGGATGGCCTCTCCATCAATACTGGAGATGAACATAGCTTGACCCAACCTTTATGGGCAACGCAGCCATTCCCTGTAATATACATTACAGAAAACGCGTGGTAGAACACCGCACCAGCGAGCTGCAAGCAAACCCTTCACAGCAGCACTGAAAATAACTTTGTCTGGAATCAAAGCCATCAGGTCAGTGAGAACCAAAGGGTAACTGTGGTTGAATCCAGTTATCCTTCAGGGATTGTTCACCTAACGCAAGTATTGCTCAGCAGGATTGAATTCATTTAGGAAGTCATTACGAACTGCCGTGCCACAGGAATTACGGCGACAGGATGTTCATTCCAAGTCTTGGGCCCTGATTCAGCAAGTTACATCAGCAGGTGAGTATTTCCCACTGCCTGCAACCGCCAAGTAATGAAACGCCTTCAATCGAGTCTCGGAAGGCAAGAGGAAACATGACGGTGCCAAATTCCGGCTGGCAGAGCAGTTCCTCCACGATCCGATATGCTACATGCTACCAAGTGGGGCTTTTCCACCTACCTTTAGCTGACAGTCTTCGTTCACAGCCAGGTTGCCTGGCTTCAGGTCCTACAACAGACACGGGCAAAATAATAAGGATGTTTTGAGTTGAAACGCATCAACACAAGCCTTTGCTGAACCTCTGCTCGCCTTTGGTGGGGTTCCATAACATCCCAAGTCCAGTATCAATACAGCAAAGACACCACGCCTGCTACACTGTACAGCTTTAGATTGCTATTTTATTTTTTCTGAAACAGTTTTAATTCAAAAAGCATCATAAAATGCTTCTCAGCTCATCAGAAAATAGAGCATTTCCTCAAAATGCTGCACAAATGAGCAAAGCCAGACACATATAGGGTGTAGGAGGGAAAACAGGGAGGACATCAGAGAGACCTTAGAACAGACAAGGCTATTAGTGCAAGGATGTTTAGGAATTTATTAACTTCACAACTAAGCTGTGTTTCTCCTAAACAGACGAAAATCAGAATAAGAGTGCACATGAACTTACCCTGTGGATGATGCCAGCTGAATGAATATACTGCAATAAAAAAAAGGAGCCTCAATGTGAGTACCAGCAGACAAGATTTTCTGTTCTCCAGCAGAGAAACGAGAGCTACAAACAAAAACCTGCTGAGAACACGGCTCTGCAGCCTGCTGCAGGTCCCCAGCCCCCAGGGCAGCAGTTTAAAAAGAAATCTCTGCTCCGAATTTCTGACAGTATTTGCAATGATATTGCCAGTTTAAAGAAGAGGCAGAGAGCAGAAGAGGAGGTATGGAGCAACAGTTCCTTAGAGCAAGTACACTCATAGCTTCAAACTACCAAACAAAGGCATCAGGATTAGAGGTAAGACGGCAGTCAGTAGATGACATCAAAACTTTCTTATTTTGGGTGTTAAACCATGAGAAAAAAAATCTCATTAAAACACAAAATTGCAAAAACTGACTACATGGCTTTTATCACATCAGTTAAACCTTCTGTGTGTTTTTCCTGCCTTTATTTAAACTCAAGATAACAAGGATCTGGGGCAAGGTGTTATTAAGGTGAACTCATTAATACCTGGAAGCCACCGCTCTGACTCCGGGTGAAGGATGTTACAGAGGGCAGCATTAAGACATTGCCTCTGCATCCCCGGGATTGCAGTGACTGCTTTCTGCTCTCTCAAAGCCAGTTACAACAGCATATTCCTTCCTTATAGAAAATCATTCCCTCTGTCTTCTCCCGCGAGAACCTCTGTCAGGAATTCAGCAGAAGCTCCCGTTGCTACCAGCCTCTTACTTTCTACGCAGAGTTTTGCTAAGGGTTTTGGCAAGTCAAAGGGTGACACAACTGCTGTCACAGAAAAACCATCACAAGGTCTATGACTGCTGATTGCTTCGATACCCGATTGACTGATATGAACAAGCAGTCATTTTACTGATGTGTGCTGGAACAAGAGTAATTCAACAGCAAATATCTCTTCTCAGGGGATGCCATAAACCACCTAAATCTTCCTGTACAGCGCTGGAAGGGGGTTTAGTTATGGTCAACCCAGAGGTGACGTGTAGAAGAGACGCAGGGAGTCACTAAACTCCTCCAGACCCACCTACCTTCAGCCCTTTCAGCATTTGGTAGACCAAGTACTGGATCTTCTCATCACTGAATTCATGTCCCATGATCTTCTGTAAATCTGTCCGCATGTATGGCATCACCAGGTAGCTAAAAGGCAGTAAGACAAGGCCTTGAGTCTAGAAGAAAAACACAGGGAACCAGGCTAGCCTTGTTCTCACTTGGGTTTTTTTTTTGGCTGGGTAACTTACTGTAACTAAGACGAGTTGTTGTCACAGTGTTCCTGGCTAACTAGCATAGCCTGCAGCGATGCTGGGATTTCAGCCTGCTCTGAAAATTGCTCTTTTTCCTCCCATTAAAGCAGATATCTGACGTCAAGTCAAGATCACGCAAACTTTAATGATCCTGATTTATTTTACTTCAGACCTCAAGTGATGTTCTGTTCCGGGCAGCCTTACACCATCTGGGAGCTGAAACATCTCGCGCAGCTTTAGAGAGTGTTGCAAAACTGCTGTGTTGGCTTCCAAATTTATCTTCTTAATGTTCTCCAGCCCTGCCTCGGAAGACAACATCTAGCTTCCTTCAGTCTTTGGCCTGCCTGCTGAGACTGCTAATTAGTTGACGGTCTTCCAGCAGGAACTGCTCTGAGAACCTTCAAAGACTTTTCCTGCAGGCTGCTAAATACCAAGCTGTCAGCCAAAAACCCAAACCCAGGCGCATGCTGCCCAAGGATGGGGAAGGGAAAAACAACTCGGCCAACCTGACCATCAACACTGAGGGAGATGCCAAAAAAAGAACAGCCAGAATCAAGATGAAAAGAAAACCAGATCTTTAAAGTTCTCAGTTTAACAACCCCAGCGCCTGATGACCAATACTTCTCCCGTGCCGAGTGCAGCCTCTTAGCTCAGCAGTCATTATCACAGATCACGCTATATGTGATACATCGTGGAATGTAATGCCTCTTCGTTACATACGTTGGTCTACATATACTGGGTTCTCCCAGTTGTGAGCATGGGATGGGATCTGTTTATGTATTCTGGGTGTTTTAGCCACTGGAACTGACTTGTGCTTTTGATTCCCCTTGTTATTTGAGGATGTCAGGCTTTAGTCTGGCACCTTCTCAACTCAGTCTGTGGGACTGCCCCTCAGCCTGATCTACTGTCCTGCTGCTAAGTCACAGGTGTCTTGGGCAATGGCTGAGTCTAGACAGAGCAAACGCAACTCCAAACTTACAAGTCCTGGAATCCCTGGTAGGAGGTGGCGGAGGTGAAGACATCAAGCAGCCCAATGACCTGATGGAGAAGAGAAGTCCACATTTAAACCTGGAAAGCATTTGGGTAGCAGCTCTCCTTTGGCACACGCGCATGAGTGAGCACCGGGAACTCCATCTGAGGAATCCGAGGACTCCTCACTATGCTGTGCAGCTGCTTTTCCTTTTACTAATACACGGGAGCACCCATTACACACCTGCTTCAGCCTGGTGCCAACTGGGCGCAGCAGACAGGCAGCAGTTAAACCCCGAGACTGCCTGCACGTGCCAAACGTCGGGACCTCGCAATTAAAATAAAGGTGATGCCACCAGAAAAGACTTGCTCCCAGGTAGCAAGAAAACCCCCCTTGTTTCAGCAAAAAAGCAGGAATGGAAAGAAATGAGTACTTACGTTCTCGTGTTGCATGTGCTTCAACAGCATGAGCTCTCTGTATGCTCTCTTGGCAAAGATCTCCGACTGGAACGGGCGGCAGAGCTTCTTGATGGCCACTTTCTCCCCTGTCTTCTTGTCTATGGCTGAACTGCGGCAGACAAATAAAAACCAGTTCTGACATCGGCAGTATGTTTTAACAAATTTTGCAATACTTCTTCCTAGAGAAGCAGCTAATCCTGGAGCTTGCAGAAGAACAGCAAAGAAAGGCCCCTTGAGAAACCCCATGGAGCTCCACACACACAGATGTTACCCCGGATGACTTTGGGCAGCAGACCACAGCCCATGCTCTTGGAGGACTAGGTGGGATACCAAGCAAAGCATTAGCGGCTCATCTTTATTCCCTTTAACCTGCAGAAATGAGCTGGAGCCAACAGAGCCGCCAGAAGAGAGAAACACAAACAGTTAAAGGTCAGGATTAGTTCTAACTCTGCCTTCTCCTTCCTTAACGCAGGGAGATAAGGGAATAAAGCAATTTCTGCTTTGCCATCTGCTTGGAGGTTGTTGTCTTTTAAGGCGCATCAGCCGCCTTCGCTGTATTCTGGAGCGGAGACGGTGGATGCCACGCGCTGAAAATACAGGCTGCTGGAATTAATTCTCCTGCATTCAGGAACTTTGATGCTGTACGTATGCTTCTGTGTAAAAGCAGGTCTGGCTGAAAATGAGAGCCTTTTATAAAGCTAATGAAAACGTGGTACAACCACCATCGCCGGAGACGTGACGTGTTATTCCCTCTGGTCATGTTTGCTTTTTGCAGCTGGAGAGGGCGATCCCACGACACTTTCTCTGCTTCTGGAGGCTCTTTGGTCAGATTGTGAAGGAGGCCCCAGGTTTCACCAGATGAGAAGTGGGGAGGGAGGTCGGCAGGCAGAGACAGCTGTAATTTGGGGTACCCGGTGGTGTTTTCCAGAGTGTCAGTTACACATCGGTGCCTCAGCCCTTCCTTGACCTCTCCAAGGGGCAAACAGATGAAGAAAGGGTTTTCCCTGCCAAATCACACTGTGGGTTTCCAGAGCAGTTCCCAACGCTTTGTAAATCCTTATCTCATCTCCTGGGGAAACGGAAGGGCTATAAATCAGCATGTTCAGCCCACGTGAACGCTGGCATTAGCACTTTGCACGCGTCCTCCAGCCTTGCACAGACACCCTTCCCCTGCTTCCTTCTCCAAAGGGACGTGCGATTCACCCTGCCACGGTCCCTGACTGCTGGGTTCCAGGTACCATAAAGCTGTAAAGCAACGTTACAGTGACCTCCAGGGCCATCACTCAGAGGCAAGACTTCGTAAATAAACAGGGAAATACTGTCTATAATTACGCAATCAAATGGTGCCTTTTGCTGGGTTCAGAGCCGATCGCATTCGGAGAGGTGGGAATATCCCACTTTCCCTTTGGTTCAGCGCTGAGGAAGGGTTATCAGTTCCTTGCTGCAACTCTTGGGAGCCTCTTGCACAGCTTTCTCCACTCGTCAGCCACAAGTGATCAGTTGTGGTGTGTCCTCCGGCAGTCTGGGCTATCAACAGCTCTCATCAACCTCCCCGATGCCATCGGGCAATCTCCCTGCTCTTGGCCGCTAAGGTCCCTTCCAGTTGCTCTCAAGTTGTGCCTGGTGAGAGCAATAAACATCCTTTGGGAGCTTCGGTATGATGGCAATTTCATCAATGCATTCAGCCAGGAAAAGCAAAGGAAGTGCAGGAACAGCTACACGAGGCAACTTTGGTGCTGAAGATGCCGTAGGATCTCTCAGGAGGCCAATGAAGAGCTGTCTCCGTTTCAGGACTTTGGCAGAGAGGACAGCACAGTGTAAAGTTTTCCCGAGGAGCCAGGGAAGTTAGAGGAAGGGACTCGGACCTTTTGCAGAATTCAAGGCAGATTTCCTAATCTGAGGGTGCATGTTCTTACCCACCTTCCCAGCTGCTGGCCTACAGAGCATCTAATCCCACTACTCGACACAGCAGAGTTGGGTGATGGAGCTTCTACCTGCCCAGCACAGACAGCGCTCCGTGCCATAAGCCACAGCTAAGAGTAAATTCAGCTGACGCAGCCGGGAGAGACGACCACGTCCTTCCCGGCACAGGTTTAATGGATGGCTGAAGTTTGGGATGACACCGAGCAGGCAGGGCTGTGTCCCTGCCTTGGCTGGCAGAGATCGGCAAGGCCAGCGTTGGAGAGGTCAGAAGACGACTCTTCCAAAATCACTACCGATTTTGGCAGAATTAAGGAGGGAAGAAACATGTCTTTGCTGGTTTTCCTAAGTTAGTTTCTCAGCTGCTCAAGGAAGTATAAAAGCCAGCAGCTCCAAATAACGCTGCAACAGGAAAGCTTCCCAGCAATTCCCAGCAGAGGACAGCAAATCCCAACTCCACTCGCTCCCACCTCTGCTTTCTATAGGAATCAGCCCCAAACTCTCCCTGCTGAGCCCTGGCCATGTACTACCACCACCGCCCCGGACCCCTGGGCTGTTTTAACACCCATCCCTCCCTCCCCGAGACCTCCAGAGCAGCAGGGACTTTCACAGGAACCAGTAAAAGATTTGCCTTGGTGACGTTTGGGTTTTGTTTTTTTTTCTGGTGGGCAAGGAAACTTTGGAAGGATTTCTCTCTTCCCTTTTTTTGTCTTTGAGTCTTCCTGCTTTCCTTTATGATAAAAACCAGAAAACACAGTACACATATTAAAAAAGCCACCTCTAGTCTTGCCTGATTTTGCAGGACTCATTTAAACATCTCAGAAGCTTAAATGCAGCTGGACAGCAAAACGGGGAAAGGAAACACCAGGTGCCTCTTTGTAAACAAGCAGCCAGGGGACAAGGACAGAACCTGGGCCCCAGGGTTTCAGGATCCGTGCCGTGACAGCTGCCAGAGAGACTTTGCCCAACACCTACAAAAGGGGACACACCTTTTTTTTTTTTTCTTTTTTTTTTTTTTTAAGCTTGGCACGTTATGAAACAAGGCTCTGTTCAGATCCTATCAATGGACTGCTTCATATTTAACTTTTCAAAAAGTCGCCTGTTTCCTCCGGTTTGCCAGTGTAAACCAAGCAAGATCCGACTTCTGCTTGCCCTCGCTACAGGCACCCTTGCCCAACTGATTAATTAATCAGTTAATTAACAGCAGCTTTCTGGTAGGCTGAGGATTATTGTCAGCCAGGAAGGAAGTCCCAGTCTGTTACCGATCCTGGTTTACAATAATTTCTATCTATTTTATGATTTCAAGCTGGAAGCAGTATCATATTGTCCAGCTCCTCTCCCCAGGCGGCCCAGCATCAGCTGCCTTGAACTCAGCATCAAGGACAGGCTGCAGCCACCCCTGTTCCAGCACCCACCTCTGCTACCAGTTACAAATTGCTTTCAGACACCCAGGTATTTTTTCCCCTCCCTCTTTGCTGCCAGACAGAAATCTTAATGCAAGCTGGAGCCCAAGGCAGCTCAAAAGCTGCCTGACCCCCAACGTGGAGGTGACACCCCGAGCTGCACCTGGCAGCCCAGCCTACCTGGTCCTCCGGCCCAAGGGCGCCCGCTGAAGCGAGCTGGGACAGAAAACGCTCCCCTCTCTGCCCAGCCGGGGCGACCACAGCGGGAAACATCTCGATTTCTACAAGCGATCAAAGTTTCCCACCCGCTGCCCAAGCCGGAGCAGGAGGCAAACAGCCTTCATCCCACATGCAAATGTCCTTTCCTAATGGCGGGGTACTGGCAAGCAC